GAAACAGCAAATTATTTCCCAACATCGTATATTTGAGGCACGTGGTGACACTGAATGAAACCGGAAATGTGACGTGGTGGACAGATGACAGATGTACGTCAAATGCGGAATTTATTTTGATTATGAACATAATGATGGCAATGACACACCAGAAAAAATGTGTGAAAAATTTAAATATTCATTATTCCTATGAGAACCTCAAAAATTCCTTCATTTTACGGGATCTATAATGGAAATATTTGCTCTATTGTTGGCAGGATGTTGGACCAACTGGAATATGTAGTCATTCTAATTTTTTGCAGTTCAACAAGTCAGAACAAATGACACTAAGATGCTTAACATCAGCCTTTTTATCCAGTTAAGAAAATAATTTAGAACAGTGCAATATACGGTGTTATTACTGTCATTACCATTACGTTCGAAATGGCTAATTTTTGCCAATCCTGCAGATTTTGAGGAAAGTGGGGAGGTGGGTCGCCCCCTCACCCCCTGTGCCTATGTTCCTGCATCTAGTGTACCTGTCTTATTGCTATTCATGGATCGCCTCATACCTGTATATAGAAAATAAGCCCGCAATGTTTACACTATACATCATGTATATCAAGCAAGCCAATCAAACTTTCTGGAAAGGAAAAAGGAGTACACACACACCGCATCCAACGCCGTGGAGCGATCAGGTGATAAATCTTTGTAGGCAAGTGTACATTTTACAGAAAGTCTGTTAAGTGATGGATGAGCCCCATTCATTTCCTAACCTTTACCAAATTGACGTATGAATCTCCTTTTTGTTTACTTCCACCATACATGGAACTTTATAATGGAATTTTCTAATTTTGTGCAGCAGCCACTGTGTGCACAGTTACCTCTAGATGTATCGCCGGTGCCGGAAGTTTTAGTGGCGTGGAAAGTTGTATACTCCGGAAGAGGTATGTTTCCAGAGAATTGCCCCAGGGAGTCACGTTAGCGTGGCGAATTGCCGGACACACTCAAAAATTCAAGGTAAAACTGCTCTAACAGAGTTCTAAACTTTGGCTCAGGCATGGAATGGCCTTATTCAATTACGCTTAATTAGCTGATTACTGTTGGTTTGATTGTTTTTACGAGGGATGTCCTTTAAGTTTTGCATATGGAAATAAAACAACACGGTAGATAGTTTTAAATGACTTTATTGTTTTTCGATATATTCTCCATGAAGATTAATACACATCTGCATGCGCTCGAACCAATTTTCGAAGCACTTATTCCACTCGTTTGCTGGCAGATGGCCCGCGTTTGACACAAATGTTGCGACCATCTTTTTCGAAACACTTCGAGAAAGGATGACTTTTGTTGGCTTTTCTTCACCTTGGAACACCCAAACAGCCGACTGTCGTTTATTTTCTGGTTCATAACAGTAAATCCACGACTCGTCGCCACTAACAATGCTGAATACGTTTTCTGAGATTCCGGAATTGATACGGTCAAGCGTTTTTTGACACCAATTAATCCTGGCTGCTTTCGGCTTTTCAGTCAACAGGTGGGGTATCCAACGAGAAACTAATTTTCTTTCTCCTAATTCTTCATGTAAAATTTTTTGAACTGAGGTCTTTGAGATCTTCAAGGATGCCTAAATCTCGCGACATGTCACATGTCTATCTTCAATGATGAGTTTGCGCACAGCATCGACGTTTTCCAAGGTGACTGCCGTTTTTTTATGGCGCAAAAATGTTCTCGGTTGAGTTCCATTTTTCTAATGACTCGGTGACACTTAAAAATTCACTGTAGTGAGAACACTGCACACATTGTTGTGAACTTTGAATTTAAGTTTACTAAAGAGTGAGGTCCAGATTAAGTACTGACGTTCGATCCGCGCGGCCTACTACGTTTCTATATGCAAAACTTAAGAGACATCACTCGTATGTAATAGGGAAATGGCGTCAATTAGGTTGACTCTGCACTTTCCGCGCATCGCTGTCATCAGTTCATGACGGATTAGGAGCTAGCTACAAACATGTATAACAAAGAATTGGATCAAGTTAGCCGAACAGGTAAATAGGTCTCCACCCACTTGATAACGCGAAAGTTAGTTTGTTCCCTACCCTAAGTATCGACCATCTGGCAACGCTGCTGAACCACACCAGTCGACCATGGCCTAAGCAAAATTCACAGTACTATAACATAGAGTCGTTCCCAACCGATCGCGTGTCGCATCTGTGAAATTTGAAGACAGTTAATAAAGGTATCATGTAACAAAATAATTGTAAAAAAATGACTATAAACATTTTTTATTTGAGCTTTTCACTTGTTTGAAATTTTAAATATTTGGTTTCATTGTTCGTTATTATCTTTTTTTTTTGCAACAAAGCAATCACAGAATGAAAGAATCACTGCTTAGGGTTAGTTGTGGGAAGTAAAAATAGCATCCTATGATCCCAAATAGAAAAATAAACGGCAAAATCAGCGAAAAAAAGAAACGTAGATTCGAGCAGAAAGTAGGACAGGTAACCCGAGCAATACGTATTTCTGCTTGTTGGTTTGATCAAACCCGAAATGAATGTACATATACTAAGTGACATATAAATCAGAACACCCAGTTTAAATGGTTTTATTTTAATAAAAGTTGGTGAATGCATTTATCTTACTGTAAGTAACAAGTGAAAAAATTTTTAGCCTTATCAGTTGGACATTCCGGTTTTTATACTGCTTTTTTTTTAATTCACTAACGCTCTAAAAATGAATATTTCAGCCGCAGTAAAGAATCAACGTTGGCGGATTTTGGTTCTTGACATCCTTTACGATCGGTTACGATGCCTAGAGTACGGAGACCTGTACGATTTCGTCAACTTAGTGAGTTTGAGAGGGGCCGTATAGTGGGACTTCGGGAAGCTGGACTTTCTTTTCGGGCAACTGCAGAGAGAGAATGCGTAGCACATCAGGGTGCATCCACACAGTATTAAAGGTCAAAGGGCTTTAAAGCAGTGCAATCATTTTGAAATTTTTTATCATTTACTTATTATGCTTCATTAAGTACTTATACAAAATTTTATTAAAATAAAATCATTTAAACTGGGTGTTCGGATTCATATGTCACTTAGTATATGTAACTGCAAAGGTGTAGGTTGACTATTGTTGGTGACTTCGTGAGTAGTTTTGTTTCTCTCTATCTTCGTTTCCTTAGGTTACACCCGTATCCGTACATTTGTGTCTACTTTTGTATACAATCTCTACCTCTCTTAAAGTCCAATCCTCATTTAAATGGACTATTACAGGAAACATTTTTACTCACTGTTCCTATTTTTATGACAAGCATTTTAAAAAAAATATTCAGCCATTTTATAAAGGAATATGGTTAGAGAAGTGTCTGCAGGATGAATCTTATGAGACTTGAGACCTAACAGAACCCTAAGCTACCAAATTAGAAATTAACTCAGTTTCTAAGCTATTTAGTTGGATACCTGAATGAACCCCCTCCTCATTTCCCCTGTATCCCGCTATAGCCCCACGGAACCCATTGGGTGTTTAGGCCTTAGGCCTTAGTGGTAGTTGGAGTATAAAAAAAAGAACCAATGAATAGCTTCCGTCATATTCGATCGCGGGCTATGCAACAGAAATACACCCTTATTTTGTAGTATGCCCCAAAATTAATGAAAAAATACCTCCAACTGTCGTTAAGCCTTGGAAGTTACGTGAGGTATATGGAAAAGAAATCGTACGCAGGCTGCTTACATCTTATGACGAGAACCCCTAATAATATACCGAAATTATTGAATAGGAATACCTAAACAAAACACGTCAGGAGGAGCCGCGAATGTTACATATTGATACAGGTATGTCTTATGTTTCACACTCTGTATACATGTAAAGTATTTGACGGATCCTGCATCTTGTCATTGCAATACGGTAACGTGTAACACGATGTGATTGGCAATTTTCTTCTGTCTACAGTGGGTCGCCTGAAAAACGATGAAAATACCGTACAAAAATCAGTTTCAAAATAACCCAGCTAAACTACTGGGAGATAAAATTTTTGAACACCACCTCTATTCGCAAGACACTGACCTCTAACCATGTGACGAATATTTGCTCTGACACGTTATAAAATCACAATAAATTTCCAAATCAAGACATGTTAGGTTTTTGTTTTCATTGCAGTTCTTTGAATTTTTTTTTTATAAAAATCTAAGCTGGTCCAATGATTCTGAAGTCCAAAGAGTGTCGGGTGGTGCTTATTTTTCAAGCAGGCAGCTGAAGATACAAGTCGATAAAGGTCAAAATCATTATATGGAGAAAATTGCTTACAACCTTGTTTTATTGGAACTTTTTACTTTATTTGTTATTACCTCGTTGTTGCAACAAATTAATCAGAGAATGAAAGAATTACTTCTTCAGGTTAACTTAGTGTTAAGAAAGCTATTTTTAAAAACTAATACATGACACCTTTACCCACTTGTGACTTCAGTTGTGTGACGATGAATAAAACCGAGTCATCTTACTGTGACCTAAAAAAAACATAAATAAATATTGCTAAATGTAATCTGATAAGAATTTACATTACAACGAAAGTAAATGCGTTTATTGATCAACCTTTTTGTACTTTTTTTGTTATTAAAAGGAGCCTTTCCATTAGGCTACTGGGGAAAAAATCAACTCTCTATGTGCGGTGGGGTGCAAAGGGCGGGCATATAATTTCAGATGTTCAGATTACAGCTGACGGTTAGTTTTAGATACTCAAACTTATGATTTTCTCAGGCACTTAGGACATGAATTTTGATATAAAGATGCTTACAGAATCAGATTAGGGATAATAGAATATGTATCTACCTATGCACCATCTGAAAAATGTTCAACAACTTGTTTCAAATCACGATTATTGTACTCTTTTCATCATTAAAGCTTACGTTGGAAGTGAAATGTATACATACATACAAAAACTGTGAAGAAATAAGTGCCTGAAACTACTGAAACAGTGAAAATCTTCATTATTCCTGAGAACTGTCAATAGTAACTAGTTCGTCGCCATTATGGGGTTATCGACAACCGATATGCGCGAAATCAAGTCAACGATCATCAATACCTTCAACGAAAAATTTTTACAAGAAATAGTGAGTAAAGTCGTACAACTGGTAGAAAAGCAGTTTGAAGAAAAACTTAACAGGAACGAGGAGGAAAATAACAGACTCTTTGTGACAGGGTCGAGAATTTGGAAAGGGATAATAGACGTCTTATCATGAAAATGGACGATCAAGAGCAAATGGAGAGATCCCAAAATGTCAGAATATTTGGGCTGAAGGAAGAGGAAGCAGAAGATTGGGCAATGTTATAGTGGATCTGTTTCAAAACAAACTGAAAGTAAACATACAAGAAAAAGATATAGTCAAATACCATCGCATACCAAACAAAAACTCAAATAACAGTACGTCGGCCGTGCTGGTACGGTTCACCTCCAGCGATTCACGGGCATCGGTTTTGAAAAAACGGAAACTGTTGAAAAACACCGGAATTCGTATAAAATATGATCTGACTAAATCGCGACTGAAGTTATTCAAAAGATGTATTGATTTGTTTACGAAAAACAATGCGTGGATTCTAAGAGGAAATATTTACGTAAAACAAAACAATCAAGTTCATCGAATCGCCAGTGATGAGGACCTACACAAAATTAATGTTTAAGAGGTTTTTTTTGTAAGGTTTTTAATAAACAATGCAGTGTAGTGAGGTATGTGGGGGGACGGATGCTGCAGCATTCCAACATGAAGGTAACATTACTGTAGATGTTTTCAAAGTAGGCAGTGTTAGACGTTAATTCTAGTAGTAAAAAATGTATTAGTATTAACTACTTTGAATGTGGCTTCATCAGTACTCGTCTTTTCGCTTATTATTATTTTTCTTCTTACACTTTTAGGTTAAACAAATAAGAAATAATTGTTTAATAATAATTAATACGAATCACAATGTTGTTATGCAATCATTTTAAACGAATTTATTAGTCCATACACATATACTTTGCCAATTTACAGTAATTTTATGGGCACTTAATAAAATAAAAATGCCTAATTTCTAAATACATATCAAGAATAATTAAATTAAGAGAACAAATAATGAATTTCTGTTTCCTTTGTATACTCGTTGTTTTTTGGAAAAACCTCAAAAGAGGTGGCAGTGGTTTCAGTTTTTATTTTTCGCAGCAAGTTATGGACTTAATTCTGTTAATTTTTGGGAAAAACATAAATTGTGTCTCTGGACCTGCTAATGCCACAGATAACGCATTGCTGTGAGGGTATGTATGCAAGTACGCATGTATACTTAAGAATGGCAATTATTTTTAGGTTGTTAGGTTTAGTCTCGTTTACAAAATTAAATAAGAACAAAATTGTAATAGTGTTACATAGAGGTTATAGGTTGACGCGGGGGCATGGGGATGACGGGGATTGGTCTTCGGGGACTGGCAATAGTGAGGAAATAAGGGATAATGGATAATGATAACATGGGTCAGCGAGTGGAGAGTGTTAATGATGAATCAATATTTGATAGTCCACATCAAAACTATTTCACAGTCGGACATCTAAATATCAGATCCATAAATTCTTGATTGGACAAGTTCTGTAATTATATGACAGAATAGAATTTTGATATTTTTGGAGTTTCTGAAACATGGCTCAATCCAACTTTAAGAAGTGAGAGTTTTTGCTTGCCTGGGTACAAATTTATAAGGAATGATAGGCAGGGTCGAGGAGGAGGTGTAGCTTTATACATAAAAAACGGGTTGAAATATTCAAAGGTATAGAATTTAAGATAGGTGGAAAAACTTATCTTTTAGTTAATAGTTATCGTTCGCCTTCTGAGAGTGTCACTTATTTCTTAGACTCCTTAGAAAATTTTCTCGGTTTTGTCAGTGTCAAATATGATTATTTATTACTGATAGGAGATCTAAATATTAATATTTTAAATAATTCTGCATACGCAAATCGCCTCAAAAATATAATTCATAGTTTTAACTTATCACAAAGGATCAGTGAGCCAACAAGATTCAATTTTGTCACAAGAGAGGCTAGCCTCATTGATATAATCTGTGCTAGTGAGGATCTTATCTCTATCGATTCTAAATCATGGGCAGTTTCTCAAAATCTCTCAGATCATAACTTAATTTACTCAGCCTTTCGAAAGTCAAAAATAAATAAATCACAAAAGACTATTAATATAGAGACTACAATAATATAGATAGAGAATCCTTCTTAAATTAAGGGTTTCTACTTGAGTGGGAGGATATTTACTATATAAACCAAATCGACCACAAAATAGAAGTCTTTAATAAAAATATAGTAACTGTTTTGAATAAACATGCTCCGATAAAAACAAAACAAATAACCGAAAAACCTTATGTACCCTGGATAACTCAAAATATAAGAATTTTAATCAGACTAAGAGATAAAGCTCATAAAAAATTTCAAAAATCAAAATCACAGGCTCATTTTGAATATTATAAACAACTAAGGAACTATACAAAGCATGCAATTATCCGAGAAAAAAATACATTCTGTAACTTACTCTCAACAAAGAAAGGTAAGGAATTTTGGGACACTACCAAAAAGCTCAACATAACATGCAAGAAAACTCACTCAACTATACCCGAACACTTACAAAATGTAAATGACATACACAATTACTTCCAGCAGACCGACAATTTACCAGACACTGCTTCCCAAGAATTAATCAATTTTTACAAAAACAATGTAAACATTAATGATTCTCTTAGCTTCCAGCTGTTAGACAGGGCCAGTCTAATCAAAATTGTAACTAATATCTCATCAAATGCCATTGGAGAGAATGGTTTCTCTATGAGAGACCTAAAGTTATGTATCCCATTTTATACGAATGCCTTGCTGAATATAATCAACACATGTATTTTGGGGGGACTATTTCCAGAAATATGGAAGAAAGCTATTGTTAAACCCTTACCAAAAATAGCAGAACCTAAAGAATTTACAGACTTGAGGCCTATTAGCATATTACCCGCTACATCCAAAATTTTAGAAAGGCATATTTATAATCAAATTAGATTTTTTTGTGACACCAACGATATCATACCCGATAGTCAATCCGCTTTTAGGAAAAACTTTAGCACAAGTACATCATTAGTTAATATCTTGGATGATATCAGACATCATCAAGAACAAAAAAATAGTACGTGCATGGTTCTTCTCGATTTTAGTAAAGCGTTCGACACTCTGAATCATGAAATGTTACTAGCTAAGTTACATTACCAGGGGTTTTCGCAGAACTCCGTAAATCTAATAAAAACATACTTAAGCAACCGTTCAAACTGTGTTATGTTAGCAAATGATTCTGCTATTTACAAAACCGATTTTAAACCTATAAAAAGAGGAGTTCCTCAAGGTTCAATTTTATCTCCTTTGCTATTTTCAATCTACATATCTGACATGGTCAATTCGGTAAAATTCGCAAAGATAAAACAATATGCAGATGACTCACAAATATATCTCCCTGTCAATAAAACCACAATCCATATTGCACAAGAAAAACTAAATTCAGATCTCCAAAGAATTGACAGATTTGCAAAGCATCACAATCTTAAACTAAACCCCTCAAAATCGCAAGTAATGGTTATGAATAAAAACAGTACTGAAAGAGAACATTTTGAACAGAATTTAGTAATTTCTATTAACAATGACAGAATCCCCATAGTTCAGGAGACAAAAAATCTAGGCATTATATTTGATAGCTCGCTTGGCTTCGGCAGCCATATAGAAAACAGAACAAATTTAGCTTACATGCGACTAAAAAATTTAAACAAATTAAAAAAACATTTATCAGCCAAACAAAAATATTATTTGTGTAATACCTTAATTTTATCACTTTTTGACTATGGAGATGTCGTCTATGGTGATTCGCTATCGTCGCGAACCAAAAAATGCATACAAAAGGTTCAAAATAGTTGCATGAGATTTGCGTTTGGAATTCCATATCGAAACCATATCACTCCTTATCTGAATAACTAAGTAAGCTTAACTTTCATGTACCTGTGCGCAATTTGCGTCACCAAATGACATTTTACTGCGAATTAGCTCGAACAAATATCTCGAGAAAATCACGGTTATGTGTGAGAACTTCAATTCTTTAGGTGAATCTTGTGATGTGAATACTTCATCTAGAAATGACTTTAAACAACGTTATCTTGCCATTTCCCATGGCATGTAATGACCTTCTTGCGGTTAGAGTTATTCTTTTTTTTTTTAATATTTTGGCTTTTTGATCTAGCTGTATTATTAATATGATTGTGTTTTTTTATATACTAGGATTATGTGTTGCTCTTGTTTTCTTTTTGAACTATTTCCTGTAATTGGGTGATTGTACCTGTTGGAAATAAAGATCCATCTATCTAACTACAACATATTAAACATGACGAATCGCAGAAAATATCACATGTATTCTTTTATCTATAGGGTTATAAAAACAGGTCAACCGCTCTATTTAAGAGAAAGATTTGTGCCTTTGCATAGTCCTCAGAAAAGCAGAAATAATCTCAATTTTATCGTACCTAGGCATAGAACGCGTTCCTTCCGACGATCGTTTGCCTATGTGGCGGTTCACTTATGGAATAATTTACCAACTTCAGTTAAAAGCTCATCGTCAAAAATATTCTCAAAACTGACAAAAACGTTGTTACAGTATCACCAGCTACTTTAGCAGCGTTTGTGTGAGCAAACATATCGTTTTTACATTCCTACTCGCTGACAGGTTGTATAGATTTGTTTTTCGCGTCCGTTGCCAGCTCCCGGGGGTTCTTTCTTCGTTTTTGCCTTTTTTGTGTTTCACCGCCTCTTCGTTTGCCTCTTTATTGTTTTTTATTTTGTTTAAGGACTTTTAGGGTATTCAGGGCTTTCTCGCATGGACTCTTTGTATTAAAGGGTCCAATGTATCGGTTTTATAATCGAGAGACTGTCCTTTTTCGTCATTAATCTATATGTAGAATTTCTTTTGTTTATGATGTTTATTCATGACGAAATAAATATTTTGAATTTGAATTTGAATTTGAATATTATCGAAGAGCAAGCCTCGCCACACGTTTTCACTAGGTGATTTGTCCACTAACAGCATCTCCAAAGCATTTTGGTGTATTTCTTAGACTGCGCCGAAATTCGAAAGATCGTTATATTAGATACAATAACGAACAACCGTACACTAAAAGACGCTCACTTGGCATAATTGTATGAATCAATGTAATTTCAATGCTATTGCTTGTTTCACAGCAACAGTTCAATTAATTTAATAGTTGAATGTACAAGTGGATACCACGCCACTTTGATAAACACAGAGCTCATCATTTGAGAAATACTAATTACAAAAGTTACCCTTATGTATAATAGCGACCATGAATATTCCAGATAAAACCCATTTTTCGACTCTGACAAGCACACTAATACGCCAGCTGCTAGTTCTAACTAAAAACAACAACGAATAGCTTTCAGAGTAATAATTATTACCATAATACTAAATGTATCGGGAAATTGCTATCGTGAAGCCATAATTCACACAAGTTATAATATACTGACTGCCAGTGACCCCTTTAACAACACACGCCCTAGCGGTATTTGGATTTATCTCAAATATGTCCAGTAAAATATGAATTCGGGTCAGATTACGACAAAGCTTGTGGTAATCATGATTTCAATGTGAGGCGTTCCCGTAGAAGCTTAATGTAATGAGAAGTGAAATTACCAAAAGAATGTTCCCATTGCCATACGAGAGCATTTCGGTGAAAGATCATTTAGAAATTAACAATACCGGAATATGTTATGCACCATTTTGTCGGAAATATGGTTTGCGTGGACGCCTCCCTACCCTAACCCGACAGTGGTCGCTATGTGAGACTTTCTCTCACATTTTTATAGATATACAGGGTGATGGGAAAATAGGTGCGGAGCCTGTGGGGGGAGATAGTACAAGCCAATCTGAGTCGATTTTCCTATAGGAACTACTGTCCGAAAATAAGCCGTTTTCGAATTATACAAATTTTTACGTTTCTATAAAATTAACGTCATTAAAGTCATAAAATTTGAAAATTGGGTGTTTCATTTGATATTTTTTTGTTTTACAACAAAAATATTCGAAAATATGAAAATTGATACTCAAATTTACATTATTGACGTTACCTCATGTAGTAAGCTTCAAAGTAAGCTCATTTTTTTTTAAAATTCTTCGTTCATCTCAAAAACTCAATTTACTAGAAACAATCACCTACAAATTTTTCGTGAAAAACAATTTTAAAATATCTACGTTTCATTACCTTTGAAATGAGGTATCAAAGTCACAAACCGGTTTAGAAATGACAAAGATATGAGTGAAAGAAACAGGTAGAGCCGCGAACATCAGACTTTGCCACCGAAATAGGTTGATAAGTAAGAATAGTCACCCTCCCATTTCTAACGACTTGGTTCTTGTTGGACTTCCGCGTGTGATTCTTTTCCTGACGACCTAGACTGTGCCCTATTTCCTGTGATTCCTTACGATTCGGCTGCTGTGTGACTTGATTGTTCGTTGATCTACCTATCGATAAACAATGGCTGATGAACAGAGGAGGCGACCGTTCAGTTTCGAAGAATATGCCGATATCCTTTTCTACTATGGAGATCCCAGAGGCAATGCTGAAGAAGCTCGTCGTGAGTATGGGGAAATGTTTCCTAATCGTCCCCTACCTGACGCCTGCGAATTTAGGCTCACGTTCCGTCGGGTTCTAGAGCGCGGTACCATCGTAAGGTATCAAGGTAAGTTTGCATCATTGATAATTATTAACTTATCATAATCAGTCATTCAGTAAGGCCTATGTAGAGCCTTGGAGGTCTGTGGGCTGAACTGATGATACTGTAACATAGTTGTTTTGATACAGTTGATTGAACTTCTTAATTAAAATTTTATTCATTTAATTTTAACACGAGCATCTACACGGCTCTGAAGATGGAAGCATCCACATGTTGTGTATCGTTTTCTCTAAATAATATTTTGCCAACTCTAAGTCATAGTTAGCTATGTTTATTAGGTAACAATTTCCTCCAAAAAACTGTTGTTATTTCTTTTTTCATTTTATTTCAGGTGATGTAGGCCTCGACATGATGTGGAAGAAGAAGAAGAAATATCAAATATTTTCCAAAGAGATCCTACTCTCTCTACTCGCGCTGTGACTCGACGGCTTGGATTATCCCAATGACAAGTGTGGTATGTTGTGCATGAAAACATATTCCACCCCTACCGCTACACACCTGTGTCCATTTTTTAAATACGCCCTTGAACAACTTGCACTTATGAAACCAGACTTTATAATTATTTCGGGAAAATGTGCTAATATTATTTATCTATTTACGATAGAATCTGGTAAAATAATGCTTAAGGAGATTGATTTAGACTATTAAGTAAGTCTTTTACTTTCTTTTACGAGTTAATGTATCAGTTTCTCTTTTTCTTGTATTAGTTGTTTTAGATATTTATCTTTTTGGATCAGGGTATTGCTAGCAACCGGTTCGTTTTGAATGGAGAATTCGGCTACATTATTATTTTTACCTTCTCGTTCATCTTTAGTGTTCGAAATGCCCTGCAGGTATTACATTACCACATGCATATTTTTTGAATCTGTCAGAAGTTGTCAGAAAAAAATTAAATATTATCATTATGATTGTACCTTTAGAAGCTTCGTTTGCTCCACCAATACTCCTAGAGATATATTTCAATCTTATGATCCTTCTTCTTCTTCCTACTTTATTAATAGGCACATGCCTGCTTTACGTCGATTTTTAGCTTCAATTGATGTTTTCTGACCATCGCTTTCTCGATCGTCCCATTGATCTTCTTCCATTTGGCGATTTGTCTCTTGCTATTCGTACTGTTCTATTTTCTGTCATTCTTTTTATGTGCTGATTCAATTGTATTTTTCTTCTTTTGGTCCACAGGTTTATTTCCTCTATACTATACTAAGTGACATATAAATCCGAACACCCAGTCTAAATAGTTTTATTTTAATAAAATTTTGTATAAGTACTTAATGAAGCATAATAAGTAAATGATAAAAATTTCAAAATAATTGCACTGCTTTAATGCCCTTTGACCTTGAATAATGTGTGGATGCACCCTGATTTGCCACGCATTCTCCAACGCGCCTAGGCATGCTTCCGATCAGGTGGTCAATGTCCTCCTGTGGTATCTCATTCCAGGCAACCATCAACTCCTCTCGAAGTGCTTCTAGAGTCTGAGGAGGACGTTGCAAATTGAGCAATCTCCTACCCATCATATCCCACTCTGATGAAGATTAAAGGTGACCTGGAACCATAAGCTATAGCACCCCAAACCATAACTTCAACAGTGTGATGAACATGTCTTTCAACAAACAACTGTGGATTCCTCCTTTCACCACGTCGCCTTCTAACCCTGGCACGACCATCGTGCATGCCTAAACAAAATCGAGACTCGTCACTAAAGACAATACTGTTCCATTCCTGATCCCAGAGTGACCGTTGTCTGCACCACTCAAGGCGATTACGTCGGTGTTCTCGAGTTAAAAGGAGGACCCAGTGTGGCCGGTATGAAAACAAGCCAAAACTTCTCATTCATCGGTAAACACTTCGCATGCCAATAGGTCTTCCGTGTTCTGCAAACCATTCATTTGCAATGGACCTGGTAGTGGAGAAACGGTCCCTTAAGGCCAATAATCTTAGGCGGCGATCTTCACGGTCTGTTGTTCTACAGCGGCGTCCAGTGCCCCTTCCTCGTTGCGTACAGCCTTCTTGAAGCCATGCCTGACAACACCTAACCACAGTGTCTACACTTCTTTGCACTCTAACTGCAATTGCCCGAAAAGAAAGTCCAGCTTCCCGAAGTCCCACTATACGGACCCTATCAAACTCACTAAGTTGACGAAATCGTACAGGTCTCAGTACTCTAGGCATCGTAACCGATCGTAAAGGATGTCAAGAACCAAAATCCGCCAACGTTGATTCTTTACTGCGGCTGAAATATTCATTTTTAGAGCGTAAGTGAATTAATAAAAAGCAGTATAAAAACCGGAATGTCCAACTGATAAGGCTGAAAATTTTTTCACTTGTTATTTACAGAAAGATAAATACATTCAACAACTTTTATTAAAATAAAACCATTTAAACTGGGTGTTCGGATTTATATGTCACTTAGTATACATCTCGCTCATATTTCCTCACCTCTTACTCTATCTCTTAGAATTTGGTTTGTTATTTTTCGTAAGACTTTCATTTCTGCTGTTTCCAATAATATTTGTGTTTTCGCCGTATCTGCTCCTGTTTCCGCTGTGTACGTCATTATCGGTCTTATTGTTGATTTATATATCCTAGTTTTCGTTTCCGTTGTGAGTTATTTGTTTCTCCAGATTGTATTGTCGAGACATCCTGCTGCTCTGTTCGCCATCTTCACTTGTTTTTGTACTTCTTCTTCCACTTTTCCATAGCTTGACAGTTTGATTCCCAAGTTTTCCGTTTCCATCACTTGTTCTATTATTTCGTTATTCACGACCAGTTTACATCGTCTCGGTTCTGCTGATATGATCCAATAGCAGCAAACGAACGTTATTTCCTCGCAAATATTGAAGGGACAATAGTATTCTTATTAGCTTATGATGAATTGCCATTTTGTCAAATGCGCCATACTGGATTCAAAGTGGCTGCAGTTGATTTCACTAAGAAACAGATCAAGTTAAAAGAAGCTTGTAAAAAGGAAACCCTCAGGATTATTGCGTAAAACCTATATAATGTCGAAAAAATGGCACCTTTCGCAGTGGTTAGCCGCTAGTGTGGTCTACGAGTACTTCCTCCTCGTCTATTAGAAGTGAGCATGGAATGAATTCAACTAGTTCAACGATGACATTTTATAGGAGATACTACACGGCCAGGGAATAATATACATAATGTCACTAGGAATCAACATAGTGTCATTTTTTAGGCTACGTAACACGGGGCCTTTGGCAATATTCGTTATCCTGCCATCCGCTGTCAAGATCCCCCCAAAGTCTATCAGCCCGACACAGTATGTGGAACTGCTAAGATCTAGATCGTCTGAAATATATTTTATTATGTGTACCGAAGCTCTATGACAAGTTATATACCTCCGCAGAAATAAACGGCAGAGCAAAAAACTATGCCTCCGAATATCGGTTGTTAAATCGTCTCTCTCGTAAAGAATGAAACGGTTCACTTTATCGACGTATTCCAAATATAAAAAGATATAAAACTGCAAAGGAAACTTTCTTTCTCGTATGATTTACTGTAAGCCCACAGCCCTGGAATAAATAGTGCAGCTATTATAGGTAGTATCTTGAATCCTACTTGTTTTCACACCGACGCAACCGCGCAGGCAGAAGCCTAAATGCCATAGTATCGCGACTGACTAAGATTAGTAGAGCTCGATACTCTAGCAATAAAGGAGCGGTCCTATCGGCCAGTTCTGGGTGTACGAAATTCGACACATTTAGAATGCGAGGCCGAAGTCATGCGAGTCTGACTGTCAGACAAAATCTCTAAGGTGCAAGGCCCATCGGCATAGCGGTAGAAGAGAGCTAGATCGCCGACGGTCCTCCGGTGCGAAGGGGTTCCTGGACTGTCCGTTAGAGAAAAGTCATCGATCAGTCGAACATGCCTCATCAGAACAGCATCGAACATGGATAGTGCAGTCGAGGCGGCAATACCCGAAACATGTCAGCAGTGTTCGAGGCCAGGACAGTACTTCTTAACCCTGCGGGCCAAAAAGGGTTTTCTGGATTCTGGTCAAGCACATCAAAGGACATTTCACAGCTGATATGACGGAATACTGGAGTTACTATCTAGATACCTTCAGGTAAACTGCATGGACTTCCCTCTGTCAATACCAAAGTACCATCGATATCGAGAGTAGTGACGTATATAAGGAGGGGCAAGAATACTTCCAAAAAAGTATTAAGCATCGTTACGAAAGCGTTTAATCTTTAACAAACAGCCAATAATACCGACTTAGATCAAATAACAGTCCATCAACTAAATGGTATTTTAACGGACCGCCTTATCTATCAAAACATCCTTAACCCCAGCTTACTACAACTCCATACTCCGTCATATATAATACTAACATGTGAAGATCACTTTAATGAAAACTTGAGATTTCTATAAACTTCGCGAAACGTATGGAAAGATCTAGATGTAAGCCAAACCAACAACTGTCTGACTAGCAACCAAACTTACAATTTGACAACTAACTGACGATATACTAAATCGCAGAGCCTATACACCAGGAGAAACTACGGCAATGCTGTTCGTGATATAAAAAGTAATCCTTAAGCTTAACGCCTGGAGTACCACTGGTGCTTTGACAGTATTGCCATGTTGGAATGTTTTACCTCAAATTCGTGGGATTTTTAATTGGTAAATTTTTCGGCGATATAATATCCACCTGGCAACGCTGTGCTTCCGCAGAGTCGCCATATAAACACTTTCCAAATAGCCTTAGATCCGACCGCCTGCATCTGTAGGGCAAATAAGCCAACCCTGCTGTAATATATTCTGTTATTTATAATTCGAATACATTAAATCTCATCAAACAAAATTATACCTGCAGGATCAAGAGGCTGAGTTATATACTATACTAAGTGACATATAAATCCGGACACCCAGTTTAA